GATTTGTATTTCCATTGATGCCACCATTGAGGTTTTATCATTCCTTTAAATAGAGAGATTTACAGCCTCTAATTATGGTAATTTACAAGTTAAATGAGCTATACTAGGAAGAGCCTAATTTTATACAATCAAATAATCTATTGTAGGAAGATCGATATAATCTCATCAAATTGAATAATCCCGTCGACATTAAACTGAAAATAAGAAGAATGAGTAAAAATACAACAAAGTACCAATATCTTTTTTTCTTCTTCTATTGTTTAATAAATACAGAGTACAACCAAACTCGGCCTATATCTTTTTCCATAGCCTGTCTCAAGCCTATATAAAGGAGGAGGTAGCAGTAGGTAGACAGCCATGTTAAACTCTGACAAATCTTATGATACACAACTTCATTGTCTAACCTAGCATAGATAGATCAAAATGAAAAGTTTAGACTAGGTAAAGTAGTCCTAAATAACATGGACATCTTCAGACAAGGTTCCTGAGTAGTTGCCGAGTGTAACCACTGAGAAGTTTTAAGTATTTGGCGCTAGTAATTTGATGCACCTAGAAGAGTTATTACAGAATAAAAGAATAGAAGTAGTACTCATGGAGAGAGAGTATCAAAATGTGGCAGAGCCTAGCAACTTCACATTTTTTTCTCTGAAAATGAAATTTTTGTATATGTTTAACCAGTGACCAAAATAAAAATCAAGAAATCTGACTTGGAAATGGAAAACCAGCCACCAAAATAAGTTAATATCTCTCTTTTTTTTTTTGGTCCTGGAGTTGAGGTTGGAAGCAATGGAGAGAATAGGGAAAAGAAAATAATAAAGAGATCTTTGTGGCAAAGAAAATAATGAGAAGTGGAATCATGAAAAGTCCATCCATTTTTCATAGTAAAACTTTATAGGGGTTCTATATATTCTCAAAAAAACATAATGAGATGGTGAATTACGTAACCTAGACCCCCTGACGTCAGTGAAAGATAATGTTTAGCTCTTGCTATAGCATCGGCAGGAAATACAATTCCCACATTAGGATCATCCAGCAGAAATGGAGCTTGGCAGAGAGCAACCACCTGCAACATCATTTTTTCTTACAGTGAATTCAATCTACAGCATCAAAAACGATATAAAGAAAGATACATGCAAAATATGTAAATATTGATAAATATTTATACAAACCTGTCGAGGAAAAGTCAGAGGCTTCTGTCCTAGGGCATGAGGGTTGCCAACATTTGTGAAGATAATCTGCAGTAGAATCATCGAATGATCAAATGGCAAAGAAGTAAACAGTCAATGGCATGGTGGTATAACTCTTTAATTGAAGTCACTTTCACAAAGAGAAACTAAACCAAGATAGCCAATATGAAACTGAATGTTTCATAAAATCCGTGACTATATATATAAGCATTCCATTCTAAACTATTGCAAGTTAAAAGCACATCAGAACCTCGACCGTGGACCAGGGAGACGTGACTACTTAGCTAAACATACCTTTTTACCCTCCTTCAAAGTGTATATTTCACTTAAATCTAGGCTTGATGCAAACAACTACTCACGTCACTGGCAAGATGTCGTGCAACATCCAATTAACTCAGTCCCCAACCTGAGAATAAACAAAAGAAACTTTATGCCGTTAACAGGGAATTTAGTGAAAGGTTGGATAACTAAAAAGTAACAAAATCTGAAAAAGCAACGCCTCATTTCATTTTTTTTCCCTTAAACTCCAAGATTACCCAATAGCAGAATTTTTAGAGAAATCAGGATCAATAGTTCAAGAGTCAATATATCATTTGGTGATTACTCTAACACCATGAAAATTCGAAGCAAAATAATTGATTGATCAACATTTCAAATGTGAACATTAAAAGCTAATACTGGGAGGGGTGGGGTGAACATGGACCAAAGCAAAATACAGCCGTCAATGCATGTGGTACCACAATAATCCAAACAGAAGTCTACTTCTGAACTCAGAACTACGAAAATAAGCACCTTTTTCCTTGAAAATAAACGCGCATGTACCAGAAGTCCATCAATGACACATCAACCAAGAAACTTCATACGAGCTAATTCCATGAACAATTGAAAATAAAGATAATGAATAAACAAGTCACTTATAATTGAATACAGTATTGACATGAAATTCTTTCATTCCAAGCAAACCCATTAATAACCAGCAGAAAAGATTAAACTTAGACATATCCCATTTAAACAAAGAAATCACCAATCCCTCAATGCATCACTGTCTAAATTCCCCAATTAATTATCAAACGTGTTATTTTCTTGAGAATAATTACCTTTGAAACGCAGTTGTANTTCTTGAGAATAATTACCTTTGAAATGCAGTTGTAATTCTCCTGACCAGAGCAGCCTCTGAAAAGGAGTGGGCACTCTTTGAGTTAAAGCCCACTTTATTACGTTCTTCTGTCAGTGATTTTCTATTTCAAGATTCCACAGAAATAAATGGGATTATTATATTACGTGGGCAATACAGAAAGACAAAAATTTAAAAAAATAAAAATGAAAAAATCCACAGCCACCGGATCGGTGGATAGATTTAATTTATTGGAATTTTTTGTAGTTTTGGATAAAGAGGATTCAGGGAGGAGTGGTTCTGCTTCAAACTGTTTATTTTGTGGCATTTGAATGACAGATCACATATGAATTTTGTGCAATTATTCATTCAGAAATCTCTCTATCATGACTACAAAAAGTGAATTGGACGAGGGAAATGACAAAAACTCCCCCCTTCCGATATTTTTTCTTTTCTTATCTCAATTACATATAGTTGTGTTTATTTATTCAAAATATCTTATTTTGTTTGTTTACTAATATATTTTTATTTAATTTATCTAAATATAATCATTTTTCCCGATTTACTACTAGAGGCCTTTTTGAGTTTCATTTTTTTTAATAAAATGTAATTTGGAATAATAGATTAAAGAAAAATGTGTAGTTTAAAAATGAAAAAAAAAATTAAATTTGCGTACAATATTATTTTATTAAAGAATGTATGGTTAAAAAGAAAAAATGAATTTAAAAAAAAAATAATAATGTTATGTAACACCACTAGAGTTGCAACCCCAATTTAGGTTACGCTAGATGATAAATTAAATGAAAAATGAAATTAGACGAGTCATTTAATTCCACTTATCATTTAACGTCACATCAGCGCCAACTAGGATTGCAACCCTAACAAGACTAGATAGCAATATTCTTTTAACAAAAAATGTTTTTTTTATAATAATATTAAATAAAATTTCTTAATTCGTATGAAAAATAAAAGCAACATGTATAAATGGGATGGAGGGAGTAATATTTTCATCATTTGATGCCTACTTTCTTTTATCTTTAATTTTCTTGAGCAATTTACTATATATTTTCTTTAGTTCTTAGTTAAAAAGATTATCACACAAAAATTTCAGTTCTCATGTATTGTGTAGAAGTTATGTGAATAATGTTATTCACAATCGCTCATTATCGGAATCGTCTTACGTTGCACATTTGTAACAGTTATTGATTTAATGCAATAAGCGACTACAAATAATATTATTCAAGTTATGTACTCAATTTTGTACTAATTTAGTGAGACTCACTTTTAAGCAATTTTTTATGAGCAATGCCACTATTACATCGGGGTGTACATCACGGTGTACA